AAATCCTAATTTTGGGTCAGATTTAAAAATAAAAAATTAAGGGGAAAATAATTTAATAAATCAATTAAATAAATTATAAAAATACCATTTATTCAAAGTAATATTTTAAAATAATGGTAGAAGATTATAAAAAATGTAGGATATGATTTTGACCCTGAATAAAATGACAAATACAATACAAATTATAAAATACATGCTATTATTGCAAGATTGTGCAAATAGCCCTAAAAATACTAATGTAATTATAAAAATGAGGTAAAAATATTTGAAACATATATTATAGATGCAAATAATAAATTTAGGTAATTGATTCATCCCAAAAATAATTTGAAGAAATAATTAATAATTATTCAAGTAATTTAAACGCAGGAAAATTAATTTAAAAGCTCTAAAAATTATGGAAATTATAGGAAATGCTTGTATAGATTTGTAAACTAGATAATGATGCACAAATGATGTTTTAAAATTATATATACTTTTTTAAAAAATATGAGGGCAAAATTGGGTATCAACACCAACTTTTCCTGAATTTCAACTCCTTTCAAAACATTTAATAAGCTAACTCAATCTCGCTTCTTCTCAAGACAAACAATAAGCATAAATTAACAACAATATCAACAAGGCATGATGTAAGCCTAAAACTACCCGGACATAGGCATAACTAGTAGCTACGTACGGACTCGTCACCTCGTGCGTACGTAGCCCCCACAAATAGAAGCACATAATAATTTAGTTCACCTATTGGGTAAATTCCCTCTTATAAGGTTAGAAAGGAGACTTACCTCGCTCCGAAGTTCCTTAACCGGTTCCAACACCACTCCAACACCTCCAACCGATGCCCAACGCTCCAAAGCTAGCCAAACAATGCGCAAACCAATGAAAATACACTCTAATACTCATAACAATTCAATTTACAACAATTTCCAACTCCGCTCGGAAAGTCGATAAAATCACCCTCAGGCCCACGTGCCTAGATTACGAAAATTTTCAAAGATAAACATTACCATAACATTATGAACTCAAATGTATAATTTATTCCCAATTTCATGCTCAAATTCGTGGCTAAAATCCAAAAATATAAATTTCTAGGTTTTCTTCCAAATCCCTCAATTTCTACAAATATTCATGTCTAAATCCACATATAGACCATGTATTTAACTCATAACAAGAAGAAATTACTTACCCCATAGAAGATGCTAGAAATGACACTCCAAAATTGCTCCAAAATCGCCTCCCATGGAAGAAATAAAGTGAAAATAAGCCAAATCCCCGTTTTTAAAAGAACAGTGCCCAGGTGACCCTTCATCGCGAAGGCGGAACATCCCTCGCGTTCGCGAAGCTCAGAAACTCTCGCCCAGAAATCCCTCTTCCCGTTCGCGAAACATTGATCACGTTCGTGAAGGCCAGTTGTCCTGACCCTTCACGTTCGCATTCCCTTCTACACGTTCGCGTAGGCCATATGGCCTTAGGCCCAGCTCCCATTTTCCTTCTTCTCGTTTGCGTTGCCTTGTCCGTGTTCGCGAAGCCTTGACCAAATCTTGCCTCAAATTGGAGAATGTGAAGGACCCGGTTCTTTGAAGAAAGTGAAACGTGAAAGTGTGTCTGGTAAAGAAAGGTTGAGGTATTAGAAAGTTCTGTGAGGTCGCACATTTGACCCAGAGATATCTGAGATGGCTGGTATGAGGAAAATACTTGAAATGGTCGAATTTCAACAGTGGCATCTGTTCAAAGTGGATGTGCCCAAGGTTTATGAGGATGAGGTCCAAAGTTTCTATGTTGACCTCTTCATTGTTGAATCCGACCATATATGTGCTTTGGTTAATGGCGTAGACATTGTTATGGACTCTGCTCTGCTAGGAGACATACTTAAGGTTCCTGCTGACGGTATGTCTTCTATTAGAGATGTCTATGGCACAAACATTAGGCATGCAATAGTTAAGGAGGGAGCAGTGCAGCGGGGGGAACGAGTGCATAAGAAAGATTTGCTTCCTGTTTATCAGCTCCTATTTGAGTTGGTGAACAAGGTCCTGCTACCTCGCGCTGAGAGGAGGTCTATCATATCCAAGTCTGATTTGTATCTCATGGAAGCACTAGATAGGTTCCGATCTGTTAATCTGCCAGCCATAATAATTGAGCATATACAAAGGTGGCAGCATTCAAAGATGAAATCATGATCTCCCCTATGGATTTCTTCTCACGCATGTCTTCAAATTCTTTAATGTGCCTTTGGGACAGCCCAAGATGGGGACCAAGAAACAGACCTTCTCGCAAACTACTCTAGAGGAATGTGAATGTGTTGAAAATGTGGAGGGGTAGGAATCACTTCGACAATTTCCCAGCTTATCAATGCTCAGAACAGTGCTACTGAGGAGATTAGGAAGTTGAAGGCAAGGAATGCCATTCTAGAGAGTCAGCTAAGTCAAGCTCAAGAGGCACCAGGGTCCTCTAGTTCATCAAGTGCAGCGGTTGCTCGTTTGACCAAAGAAAATATTGATCTCAGGCAACAGGTTGAGAACCTGAAGGAGAAACTGCTCGCAGAGCAAATGTCCGCAAATGCTCGGATTGATTCATTCTCAACACTCTTGCTGCCGTTTCTAAGCCCTCTTCTTCTAGTGTCCCCTAGGCTGATCCTTTAGTGACCATTTTCTAGTTTATCTTTTCTGTTCAGATGACTTTGTGGTAGTTGTTTTTTTTTGTTTTTTTTTTTGGTATGGATGGAATTCACTTGTACTGCTCCTGTTTTCAACAGTCCAAATCTGTCTTTGCTATAACGGCAAAGGCTTATGTTCTACAATATTAATGAAGACTCTCCTATTTTGCTGTAAATTCTTATGTTTCTCTGCTTCTCTTTTCTATCATGTGGTGTGCACATATGTGGCATGAGTTAACTAGGCTAGACTTCTTTATGTTGATTGCTTACTTGGGTGTTTTTATTGATGCCAAAAGGGGGAAATATAATTGAAGCAGGGGATCTAATTAAGGGGGAAGCATAAAGTCAAGGGGAACTTGTGAAGTTCCTGTTGCTTCTGGTTTATTTTGTTCTGCATATGGTTTTCAATTTCTAAGTTTGTCATCATCAAAAAGGGGAAAATTGATGGGTTTACAGTACCTTAGATTTATGTTTTGATGATCTAACAAACTTACTGTCAAAGAACCAGATAAGGGGCCTGACACACTTGGTACACAACTCAATCAACAGACTCAAGCTAATGTGTGTTGCTATGACTAGGGGTGGGCACATATCGGGTAAAATCGATAACTCAAACTGTTAATTATTTATTGGGTTATCGGTATTGGGTTATTGGGTTAACGGTTCGATAACGGGTTAAATTTTTTATAATTGGGTTATCGGTTCGGGCTCGGTTTGGCAATTCTGTTATTGGGTAAAACCGATAACCCAATAAGGATTAACTAATTTACTAGTTTACCCTTAAGTATATACATACAGGGTTTCATAATTCATACTTCATAGTTCACTCTTTGATTTCCCTATTCTTTCTCAGTTTCTCCGCCTCACACCCTCACCAGTCAGCCCGTCAAGACTCAGACCAGCGTCAGTCGCATCACGCCCTCACCAGTCCATCAAGACTCTGGCCGGCGTCAGTCGCATTTCTCAGCTTCTTTCTTTCACTCTTCAATCGCATCTTTACTTCATTTCTCAGATCTATCAGATTCTTCAGTCGCATTTCTCAGCCGCATTCTTCAACTTCATCTTGATTCTTCGTGTAAGTTTTTAGTTGCTTCATCTTCATCTTTTTCTTAGTTTGTTTGAAAGCATTCTGGCTCTAGATTTTTCTTAGTTTGTTTGAAAGTTGAAGTGAGATTTGTCGTGTGCTTTAATTGTTGAGCTGTTACAAAGTTATCTTGTGTTAGTTGTTATAAAATTTGTATTTCATAACTAATAAACTTTTTAATCTATATACGTAATTCTGTACTACAGTAAAAAAGTAGATATCGATGTACAAAGAGTTACTGCTAGTCGTTTGAACAAAGAAGATCTTAAGAACACTGATGTTATTTTACTGGCCAACTACTTGAATCAGAGATTATTGATATCATTTTAAGATTTTGGTTAGTGTTTATTTTATTGGATGTTGCAGTAAATTTAAGTTCTTGTGAAATAGAACAGTTCTGAAAAGAGTTTTAGCAAAACAGTTCTTAAAATCTTATTAAACTGTTTTGCTAAAACAGTTTTATACTGAAACTGTTTTATACATTGCGAAACTGTTTTAGTTGTTTTATCTTATCGGGTAAACCGTAACCGAACCGATAATGATCGATAACCGATAATCAATATCTTATCGATTTGGTTATCAGGTTATGATATTTATAAACCGATAACTGATAGGCAAAACCGATAATATTCATAACCGAACTGAACCGACCGATGCCCACCCCTAGCTATGACATCAGAAGATAAAGAATCAACACAAGGACCTGATCCCCTTGGGTTTCTCTGACAGCAGTACGAAGTTAACTATCTACAGTTGGAAAGTGACTGCCTGCAATGTACACGCAAACAGTGCAGCACAATACAACAGTCACTCCTCTTTGACCAACCAAGTGATTACATCATTCAAGTGATGTCATTCAAGTTGTATTAACAAAGAATATCACAACAAAATATCACTTTGAACATTTGAGAATTCATTCAAGCACTCCAAGCATCTGAAAATCAAGCATTCAATTCTCAAGTGCATAAAGAACAAAGTACAACAATACTACGGACCAGTTCCTACACAGCAAGTCTCTTGTATGTCCTTAGTTGAGTTGTAACTTTGTAATTGTTCTTCATTGGAATTCCTACTTTTCTTATCTAGAAGCTCTAATTAGGAAACCCTTGAAAACCATAAACCTTCAGTGTTTGTGTCGTGACTAGAGTTAGTCATGAGTTGAAGTCTTTGTAATAGGTGTATTGCAAAGTGACTTGTAATAGGTGTATTGCAAAGTGTCTTGTAATAGGTGTATTACAAGTTAGTGAGAGATTAAGAGTTTAATTCCTAGGTTGCATAATTTAATTCGTCAGGCAGCGGGTCTACTGGTGTTTCATAAGTCTTCAAAAGACTCTCCCTCGTGTAATAAGGAGAACAATAGTTTTCATAAGACTCATCCCTATGCCTCAAGGCCGCCAAAGCACGTGGACAAGGAAGTTCGTCAAGCTGGAACTGTCCACAACTACATCTCTTATTTTGAAGGCAAATAATAAAGCACTTCACACCGTCTAGCACTGTATGGATGTGGTCTGTTGAAGCCGTCACCTACAAATTCATTATAAGCACACAACTAATTATCAGCAATATGTACAAAATAACTACAATTTTACAACAAGTTATCTACAATTAGCATTATATATTTAGTTTGATGGAATCGTTGATATGATGTTACTGGATATAGCTTACTCTCATCTTCTGCGATAATGTCCTGTTGTCCTCCAACTCTTTGTTGTATTTTTTCCCAAGGTATGTAAATGTACCCTTTGCTTTCAATAACTTTTCATTATTCCAACTTTCAAGAAGAGTCCTCATGTACTCTAATAGGTCTACTATGGGCAACTCTCTTGCATCTTTTGTTATCGCATTCAATGACTTTGCAATATTTGACGTCATCGTCCACGTTCTGTTCACCGTAGCATATAACCGAGACCATCTATGATAGCCAATATCGTATAGGTATGCTTTAACACGCACGTTGATCTCTTCAATCTTTGACATTTATGATCGTGCCATGGCAAAGTACAATTTGCTTAACTTTAGATGACCCTTCTTGAACTTTGACCTTACATTTGTCCAAATATGCCACATGCAAGCAGAATGTGGTATTCCGATATAAACAATAGATGTTGCCTTCAAGATACTCTCATTCCTGTCCGAAACAATACTCATATTTGGTTTTTCACCATATGCATCTTTGAATTGCTCAAAAACCAATTCCATGCTGTGTCATTTTCTGAATCAACAACAGTGTATGCCAGTGGTAATATGCTACCTATCACACAAGTGGCAAAAAGAAAATCAATTTCTGTAATAAAATTTGATAGTATAAAAAGTACATACTGAAAATAACTTTACAACAATATTTCTACAATGAATCTACAATACCTGCTGCATCCATTGTGCTGGCTGTTAACATTATTCCCCTGCATAACGACTTCAATAAGGTGCCATCAACTACCACAACTGGCCTATAACACTCCCAACCCTTGATGGACGTACTAAGCACAACAAATGTGTACACGAAATAATCATCTTCAGTCTTCTTCAAATTAACTACCGTCCCCGGATAAGTCTTCTCCAGAATATACGAATAACTTGGCAAGCGACTGTAGGAATCAGCAGGGTGACCTCTCAAAAATTCCAAATCATTTTCCTTTGCTCTCCAAGCTTGCATGTATGTTAAGTTCAAACCATGATCCGACAACATGTCAGTTTGTATGTCTTTTGGTGTGTATATTGTCTTAGGATCCGTATATTTTGGCATCACCATGCTGCCAACTACCATGGCAGTTGCTTTGCGTTGTTTGTGTGTATTGTCCATCAAAGAGCATGTGTGAAAGCTGTTGAATTTTCGAACATTGAACAATGCTGATTCGTTTATGCTGGTTGACTTGAATTGCCATGTACAATTGCCCCTAACACAAACTAGGCAGTAGCTATAGGAAAAAAAACATGTTAAAAACTGTTATAGCTACAAAATAATAGGCTGTGTAAGCACAAAAATCTTATATTAAATAATTTATTTACAAAAAAACTACAAATTTTATTAACAAAATATACAAAGAAAGTACTACCTATAAATAAGAATTCCAAACAACTACAAAATAAACACAAATATGAATTTGACAATTGAACTGTTCCTACCTTCTTGCGCTAGACCTCTTCACCCTAAAATGGAAGTTATTCATGACAGAATAGTGCTTTATTGCATTGACAATTGTTTGTTTGTCTTTGTAGACTTGGCCTAATTCAGTAACATTTGGTGTATGTTCTGTTATGATGTTACTTTCATATTCCACAATCGACGGAGATGTCGGCCTATCGATCAACAACACTGTTCAAGATGAACCCGCACTCCATTAAAAGTATATACAATTCAGAAATATATTGTAGCTAATTTGTAGTAAAATTGTGCAACAATTGAAATTGAATACTTCAAAAGTTATAACAGTTGAACTACATTTGTTAGTTGTATCATTGTAAATATTGTGTAGAATAATTGTAGAAAACAACAAACTGACAGAACATCACCACTGAAAATACAGAGCGACCCCGCAACTGTGCTCGTATTAGAGATACTGCCTTCCAAATCGAAATCACGCACTGTTATACACAGCAGATATATTCCTAAGCTTCTGTTTTCCTTTTTGGTCTCCATGTATACTCGAACTCCTATATCGCTCCTAATTTTCATTGGAGGACAACGTTCATTGACAGTGTATTTGATTTCGATGATTTTCTCAGAGGTATTAATCAATAGATGCTCTGCAATTGCTGCAATTGCAGAATTCAATTGATTGTAATTTGAATCCTCGCTGACTACAATTCCATCACATCAAAATTGTTGTACCTCCCAAAGCTATCCCAATGACCTTTTAGCTGAAGCATAATAGCTAAATTTGTCATTATATCGCGGAATTCAATATGATTGAAGATAATTGTTTGCAATTTTTTTCCGCCGATTTTCGTTTCTAATTTTGAATCCAGACGAGATAGAGAAAATCAGAGTATTGAACTTGATTGTGCGACGTTGATGAGAGTAAATCGGCATAATAGCAGGCTTAATTAAATTGGCGAAGATTGCGTCAGTAAATTCTTCGAAGAATCCTCTGTGATCCTAATTTCCCGTGTCTAAAAAGGAAGGCTAATGCAAAAAGGATTCTACTTTAAATAAATGTATATATTTTGTAGACTAAACATGGGTAGGTCGGGTAATTATGTAAACGTGGATATTTTTGGTAATAAAGTTTCTAATTTTGTATAGGTATGAAAAAATCCCTTTATATTTAGTGTATTCATATTTCATAACAGAAGCTAAAATATTTAGTTTAATTTTGGGGGAAAAGGTATTTGAAATTGAAATTGAAAAAAAATGTTTTCCTTCCGTATTATTGGTTTAAATATTAAATGTTATTTATGACAGATGGTATATATCTACCAAAGTTTTTCAACATAAGAAAATTTGACCCTTCCATGTAATATAACTCCACTCGGGAAGTTCTCTTTTCCTCCCGTATTAATATGTTTGACTTTTTCGCAATTATGAAAAGTCATTTTTTGAAAACTTTCAGGACTACAGCAGACTATTTTTTTATTTTAAATTGAAACTCTAATTATTTATCACAAACTATACAGAAGCTATTAAAATTATTAGATTAAGTACATTAGTTATAAATTGAAATGTAAATATTCAGAACTACAGAAAATATGCTATAAATTGTAATTCTCCTGGTATCATTCAAATAATATTAAGTTGAATTTTGAGAAGCAAAAGGTGACTAACATCTGATGAAGGAGTAGTTCACTTGTTAATGACATAATATTATGTTCTTGTCCTCTTCACCTAATTTGTCGAAGTTACACTTTTGCTATCCCATTTGGATCAGTTTTGGCAGACGGAAATTTCATAATTAAAATGGTATCGTCTATAACATTTGATTTGATACTCCAATTCAATTATAAAATCACATCTCTTTGTGCTCCTAAAGATCATAATTTATAACTACGAGGTCATGATAACAATTTCTATTGTTGTTGGAATTGAAGTCTGTTTCCCTCATAGCACGCCATAGTCACTAAACTTTGACTTGATCTACGATATGGTTAGCTAAAGCAGAAGGTGTGTCATGCAATGTTGGAGAGTGGCACACATCATAACCATCAAGGTTTACTTGATCAGCTAAATTAGATGGTGTGTAGTGCACAATGATAGAGCATTGTGCCATGCCTACTTGTTGAATTCATTTTGGTTGAGATATGTGTTGCAATATTGTTGATGAGCTTGTCCCAAACAGATTTTCGCCACTGCACCCATCATTGGAACTAGAAAGCAACTAAATTGTTATCTTTGAGCTTTTGTTTTCTAATAATATGCCCCGGTGTCACGACCCAAAACCCGACCCGTCGTGATGTCGCCTATCGTAAAACTAGGTCAGCCTCAACTCAACAATCAACACGATAATAACAAGTTTGAAAATATTTACGGAAGCTTTTAACGGTTAAAGAACTATTTGAAACATAAAAAATTTCAAGAATAAATAGAGTCCAGCTCAAAACCGGGGTGTCACTGAGTACATGAGCGTCTAAGGAACATACATAGTCTACTATAATGTCTAAGGGAGAAACTGAAATACAATAGGTAGGTAAGGTGGAGAACCAAGGCCTGCGAACGCCGTGCAGGTACCTCAATAATCTTCTAAGTGAGAAGCCTCGATCAAACATCCGCCACTGGATCCAAAGTGCCTGAATCTGCACACGAGGTGTAGGGGGTAACGTGAGTACACCAACTCAGTAAGTAACAAGTCCAACCTTTGGACTGATAGGTAGTGACGGACTCAACCTCCTCACGGAATAACAGAAATAATGTACAGAAACGTAGGCATGCTTTCAATTAAATAAACAGCTCGAACAGTAAAACAAAGCAAGTATGAACAAGGTAAAGGAGTGTAACTCTGCTACATCTACATGTCAATGCACATGCTGTATGGAAATGCACCATGCCGAGTGCCTCATGTGCCCACAACCTCAAATGCTCGTCCGCTCAGTACTGTATATGGCTCATACGGCCCAGGGAAGATCCATCCCGGAATATATACATCTCTGATAGCAATCACTCAGTACTGAGGAAGGCCATTCCAGCCTACGGAGAAGATCCATCTCTAGATAATATCAATAACAAACTCACAACCACTCAGTACTGTATATGGCTCACAAGGCCCAGGGAAGATCCATCCCAGAATATATACACATCACTCACAACAGTCATCTAGTACCGAGGAAGGCCATCCCATCCTATGGAGAAAATCCATCTCCAAATACAAATGCTTCGGACAAGATCCATATCCAGGGAAGATCCATCCCTCAATATCATCAACTGCGCTCACTGGGGGTATAAAGACTCCGGAGGGGCTTCTCTCATTAGCCCAAGCGCTATAACAAAGCCAACGAAGGCTTGTTCAATATCTCGCTGCGACGTGCAACCCGATTCCATACTGTCACTCAATATCAGGCTCTCAGCCTCACTCAGTCATCACTCTCCAGTCTCACACACACGGGATCAAAATGTCATGATACTAGCCCGAACAATGATATGATGTATCAAATAACAATAATCGAGACTGAGGCATGATATAATATGCATTAACAGGACTGAGTACAGAATATCAATGAAGCTAATGATATGACAACAAAAAACGACCTCTCGGGTCTCAACAGTATTGGCGTGAAGCCTTAACATGCTAATTATCATGTTAAGGCTTCAGTGGCTTTCTTGGGGCACGTGGTGTCCAGCGAGGGTATTCAGGTTGATCCGAAGAAGATAGATGCGGTTCAGAGTTGGCCCAGACCATCCTCAGCCACAGAGATACGCAGTTTTCTTGGATTGGCGGGTTATTACCGTCGGTTCGTTCAAGGATTTTGATCCATTGCATCACTCTTGACCAAGTTGACTCAGAAGGGTGCTCCATTCCAGTGGTCGGATGAGTGTGAGGCGAGCTTTC